TAAGACTGGAAAATAATTTTGCACAATGGTTAGAACAAAATTGTAGGTGTTTTAATTATTCACAAAATTTTTATGCAGCAGATATTTTAATGTATTAAATTGTAGAGAAATTTTGTTTTCTACACATATTATATAATTTTAGCTCTTTGTGGATTTTCGACATTTTGTATTGTATCCCGAAATTTAAAAATAAAAATTACATAAAATCTCCAGTTGATTTCAACAACAATTGGGCTCACTTAATCTCGCATAATCATATTTTTATCTAATTTTTTAGTACAATGTAGTAATATCTTTAGAAACAGTCCTAATTTTTCGTTCATTTATTTTTTGAACTATTTTCACGTTCGTTTGGATAATTAACATTTCGGAAGGAAAACATAATTAATAAATGATGAGACATGTAGAGAGTTTTTTTTTTAAATGAGGAATAATGTCGCGATGCTATTAGTTAATTTGTATTAGGAGCAATTACTGCTCTAGAAACAAACATTTTAATGGTATTAACCTTTCGCCTTCATTAAATTTTCAAAATATGAAGTCATTTGGCAGAATAAGAATTGTTTTAAAACTGAGAGTATACTTCTGTTAAGCTGTGCTCGTGAGAAAATTACGGAACATCACGAATTAAATCAAGTAAGCGTTGTCTTTTTATTTTAAAACTTAATGTTTTATTTTGTAATATCCAAAAAAAAAAAATCAAAATCAAAAATAATATTTTAAAAAACCACGTTTTTGCAGTGGAGAATAATAACTGAAAAATAAAAATTTGAAAAACAAAAAACTTGAAGCTCATGAAATACATGACAGTAATGTTATATTAGTGTGTGCATGTGTGCACATGAGAATATGTCTATGTATATCTGTAATTGTAATTGTATCTGAATGTGGATGTGGATGTGGAATATGTGTGTGTATATGCATGTGTATGTGGATGTGCATGTAGCTGTGCATGTGTATGAGTAAGAAAATGTGTATGTGTACTGTTATGTATTTCATGCGCCCCACGTTCCTCGTTTTTCAAATTTTTATTTTTTAATTATTATTCTCCACTACAAAAACGTGGTTTTTAAAAATGTTATTTTTTATTTAGATTTTTTTTGTACTCACTTCCAAAATCTCAATTTTTTCACTCACTGTACACGAAACTTTTCAACTGACATGTGACACTAATTTGAAATAATCAAATCGACAACAAAAGACAATCGCGAAAATACTAATTTTTCTTTAATTTTAATTTTGTTTTAGTTTGTATGTCTTCTTTCTCTTCACTTTCATGCATTGTCATCCAATTCTGAACTATGAGCCAAATTTGAAGTCTGTAGCTAGTCGGGAAGTTAGTTTAAAATCGATTACAAAATTCCACCCGGACAGACATACACGAAGGCAAGTTTATATAAACGTGGTAA